AATTTACATATGCTCCACAGCACTTTTGTGGTTGTTGCTATTTTATGTACCAATATTTGCATATTTTAGCAAATATTGCACAGATAATAAAATTAAATTTGAATGCACATGATGTGTGTATGTATGTAGGTATGTATATATATATATATATGTGCATATGTATTGTTTGTTGATAAACAGTATGTAGTTCTATGACAGTTAATGAATATATATATGTACATAGGTACACTAGGATGCCTCATGAAAAACATTGCTGCAGTGCGATTCTTATAATCGCTATGCAAAATTTTCGTCGCCAAAATTCTCTAAATGAAAAAAAAGCGTGACCTAAAAGTATACAACATGAAAAAGTAACAGATGCAATGTGTAATCACACAAATCTCAAAGTATAAGGGACGTGTAACTGGGTGTTGCATGTTGTTAGGCGCGCAAGCTATTCTTTTCGAGATTTTCGGCGATCTAAATTAGCGATTTTCAGAATCTCACTGCTGAATTCCTAAGCAAATCACAATTAGTTTTTTTTTTCTTTTATTAATAAAATTTACTAATCGATCTCATTGATAATAAGGTATTAGACCTCTTAAAGTAAAGTTTTTAATAAAAGCAACAGAGGCATATGTCTAGTTCTAAGTAAATCTTTATCCTTGATGAGGGATGGAATGTGCTCGTAATGTATGTACATACATAGCAGAGATGGACGCGGAACTAAATATTCAAACCCGATCCCGTCATTCAGTTTTTAGGTCCTGAGCCCGCCCATCACAACATTTTTTCAGACTGGCTAAAAAAAAATTAAAATAAAAAATCAAAATTAATTTTAAATAACATAATTGAATATTTGGTTCCCGAATATCCTACTTTCATCATACTGAAAGATCTAGAATCTTCTGGTTATTCTATTTTGCTTACAGTTCATTTTCGCCTCTGTATAGCATTAATTTCATATAACGTTTTGAGAAAAAAATTTGGAATTTCGGCAAGATGCAGGCTTTATCCCGAGTGTCGGAATAGGATTAGTAATGTTTTGAGCGTGTGACCCAGTCGGAACCCTTACGTGGTTAACGGGATTACTTAGTTAAAAAGTGCAAAAAATCGCCAAATATTATCAAAATTATTTTAAAATGCTTTCTTGAAAAAACAACAATTCAGGAACTTCTATGCGTTCTGTTCTATCTTGTTGCTAGCAGGCATAAAGTAAAATAGAATACAAGAACGGGCCAAATAAACCTTAATTTTTTCCAGTTTAGAAAAAACGAGTTACTTGGTTCTTTTCTATTACAGAATATCTGTCTTCGAAACACTGCCCCAGGAGATGTCTCGCCCTACATACATATATGAACTTGCTTTTGCAGCCTGTGAATTACTATGTTCCCTTACAGCAGCAATTCCGTTGCATTATTGAAGGCTGGGTACTGAGTAGTATCGAGGACTCGATTCTTTTCGACAAGTACTGAGTAAATATCGCGAATACCAAAAAGTATCGACGTTTAAAACTTGTTTAGGCAATTTTTATTCAATTACATTGAAAAATGTTTAAAAATTAGCCCATGGGCATAACGCTTATTTACTTCAATACTGTCATAACTCAAAAAACCGAAAAATTAGTATATATTTTGTTCTGGTGAGCTACTGGTAATCGCTATGAAATTTTTATACAACATAGAAGAAGAGGCAGCAGTCATGTGGACATTTGGCTCGGTTAAAACTTCTTAAATAATTGGAAAACGAATCTCTTGCCATACCTTCGATAACACTGGTCCACACAAAAAAAGTGGTCTTTCCTTTTAACCAGACCTACATATCGACATGTATTGAGGTCCATTTGACTAAATTTGGAGTTAATTGCGAAAATTATGAAAAAATGGCAAAAACGAGTCAAACGGACCTCAGATTCAGTGGGTCGAAGTACGTGACGGCAAGTGGGTCTGGTTAAAAGCACACACCAATTTTTTTTGTGCCGGTGTAAGGAATGGGTTAGGAGTGTGGTCTTCGCCTCGATAACTTGGCAATTCTCCAGAATAACGGAGCCTTCGTATTCCAATGTATTCTACCTTGGTTTTAAATTCGAAATCCAGCCCGCTTTCGAAGAAAATTTTTGCGAAAGCGAGCTTATCTTTCCTTTAGACAATAGCTTTAGTTGCTTTTGAAAGCTTCAAATAAGCCTTTTGCTATAAACATTTATTTTACGCTTTTAAACTTATTGCAAGTTCTTTTCAAAAACTCCGTTAGAAATGCTTGTTAGATCAGACTTCAGTCATTAAAAGCAATATCTATTCAAGTTACAAAAAGAAAGAAGTCAAATGTATATGTAAACAAAGCAATCTGATTTTTGTTAACTTTTGGCGTTTGCCCTGAAAATACTTGGAAGTACGAGTATTATTGATACTTTTTTGCAAATATGAGTACTGGCATCGATTCTTTTTTCGAGTATTATAAATGAGTACTAGTATTGATATTGTTCTAAAAAGTTCTATCACTAGGCACGCTCCAAGTCTACAGAAGAAACTTTTCTTTGTTAAAATTTGACTCAAAAACTGATGAACGGATTTCAACCAAATTCAGACAGTAGTACTAACAAAGACTCCTAGCACGATCATGGACTATATTTTCATCCGCTGGATATTCAAAAAATCTGTATTTATTTTGATGAAATTAGAAACGTATGTATACTGGGGGTGGGACGATAGATACTTTTACTGAAAATGGATCCTCTGGATGGAGCACAGTGTAGTTTTTGGAAATGTCGGTGAACAAAATCGTAAATCTCTCCAAAGGAATAAGAGAAAAATATGGGTTCGAAGGCTGACATAATCATTAAATTTAACCTCCAAAAAAATTTGGTTGAAAAATTAACTTCCGGAAAAAAATTTATACTTTGCTGGCTAGCTACGCCAAACAAAAAAATTGGTTTTTAGTTCTATGGACTTTTCTCAACCGATAAATTCAATTTTTTTTGTCAAAAGCTTTTCAATCAGTTTTTCAGAATTATTTTTGGTTGCCTCTTATAGCCCATTAAATTCTAGTATAATAAAGTGCAAGTTTTAAGTTTCTAAAGAATTGTGTTTTGGCAATTTTTTAACGCCTTTTCCTCCGAAATTTTCTTGCAAGGAAAAAAATGCGTAATACAGTCTGATTAAAAAGTTGAAAATTTTCGGCGCTAGAGTTATTTAGAAAAGCCTTATTTATGGCGCGATTTTGTTGATTTTAGAAAGGTATGCTGCAGGTGCGATTAGCAATATTTTTACGAAAAATGGATTCACTAGTGGCGTTAGTGTCCTTATTACTAATCCTATTTAGATGAAATTAAGTATAGTGAAATCCATATTTATGGTTCGATAACAGCTATTTTTGAGAGATTGAAAATTATGTAAAAAAATTGAATTTATTTTTTCAAAAAATTGCTACTAACTTTAGATACGACTTAATCTTAACTATGACTGAGTGGGACACTGGACATACGTATGTGAGTCGGTTATGTATATCTAAGTATGTATGTATGCGTGCTTTGTATATTTGTAGTTATGTTAAGTAATTTATGTATTCAAATATCCATATTTTTGAATATTTTTTAATATTTGTATTATGGTAACATCTCCTGTTAATTGTTTCATTTTAAGATTTCATTGTTGTTCTTGTAGAAATTTAAAATATTTGTATATTAATGTGTATTTGCATGTATAGTCTTTTAGTTCATTTCCATCTCCTTCTGTAACTCCCTTTCACACCATAGAGTAAAACACTGTGCACGCAGTCTGCCGTTTTCTCCTTAACTATCTATTTTGTGTGTTCGTGTTACTTCCGGTTTTGGTTTTCAGTTATCACTGTACAAAATAATATTGAAACTTAAATGGTCTAAAGATTTTTTTTGTTTGTTTTTGTTTTTACTTCTCTCTGTACTAGTTAAGTGAGTGAAATTTTTTCAAAGAATTCACAAATCACTAACTCTAAATTTTCTATCTACTTTTTTCATTTCTTTCTACTTTTTAGCTTGAAGCTAACAAACAAAAATATAAAATGCAAGAACAAGCCGTAGTTGAAAAGCTTAAGCTGAAAAATAAACACAAAACACGGAACTAATTCGAAAAACACACACAAACACAAGCACACAAATGCACAAAAACACAGAAAATTAGAGTTTTGTAAAAATACACTGTTTTTAGTAGTGAGATTTGATTTTTAGTAAAAAAAAATACTAACAACAAAACCTGGAAACAGAAACTGTTGGACGCAATTTTAAATAACAACTGAACAAATTGTAGCATACTTTTAGGCACACAACTCATATTTGTAATTATAACTTAAACCAAGCAACACTATCGCGCATAAGAATCACCTTCATTTGGTAAAAAAAATATAACTACAAAGCCATTTTACACGAAACGCACACGCAATCTACCCAGACTACCCATAAAGCTCAGCTTTTCGCAGCCTCTTATTTGAGAAACGCACAAAAATTAATTTCAAAACTAATAAAGTACACCAAAGCCATACGCCAACATCATCCGCACCGCCGACAAACGACCATACCGATCTATACTTTCTACATCACCAACCGAACCACCAACCACCACACAGAGACCGCGAAGCACTGCAACACATTTCCAAACAAAGTACAAAAGCGAAAATAACCGAAGCGACAGATACTTCTGCGAAACCCGCAACCACAACTACAGCAACAATAACAGCGACCACCGGACTCAAAAATATGAGCCTCAATAAAATCAAAAAACGCGACACAGACTTATGACTGGTAAAGACACGGGTCGGTTTGGCCAGTTTGGGCGGCGGCGGCGGCGGCGGCGGCACTGGCAGTCGCTACAAAGTGACCGCACGCTGCGTGCCAGAAGTAAGCATAACCTCACCGACCAACGGGCATTATCATGAATTACAGCCACCATCGACGACATCATCCGCTTCACCATCGTCCACGTCCACGTCAACGCCATCGCCATCGCCATCGCCACAACCACCAGCAGTCACATCGCATGCGCATTCGCAACAGCTCGCCAATCATCACTCATCCGAACAGCTGCCATTAAAAAATCCAACAGCACAACAGTCACAATTAGAAAATCAACTTCAGTCGCATCCACAGTCACATCACAAACAACAACAACAACAACATAATAATAATAATAAACAACATCATAAGAAATCGAAAAGCAAGCAAAGTAGCGACAGCAACAGTCACTGCTATAGCAACTACAACTACAACAACATCAACAGCATTAATAATAGCAACAGCCACAGCCATAGCCAACCTAACCACAATATTAGTAACAGTAACAGTAACAGTAAATCTTATCTGCTGCGCAGTAAACACACTAACAACATTTATTCGTCAGGAGCCACACTGGTCGAGGAAGAGGACTTCAATGAATTAACAGCGGTACCTACAGCGACAATTGTGATAGCGACAAACGTCAACGGTAAAGTGCGCGTGAGTCCACAAATAAGCGGCAACGTCTCAAGTTCCGATACTGCTGTGGTCACCAGCAAGAGAACGGGTCGTCATCTGCCACCGCCTTTGAAGCTGACCACCATCACACGCCCAGGTCCGTCGTCAACGAAAAATGCGCTAAAACGCCAACAGGCGACCCAGCAGCAACAACAGAAGCAGACGAGCCCCACATCAGCCTCATTGAAATTGACGGCCCAAGCCAGCGAAGAGAGCCAACCCACTGAACTGACGCCTTTGGTAGACACCGACGATAAAACACTAAGTCACAGCCCAGTAACGCCCACATTTTCTTCGAATACGAACACCACCAGCTCAACACAGCGTTCGAATAGCACAGCGATCGCCGCTTCTGTATCGCCGACTAGTATTGGTGTGGCCGCAACAACACAGTTTGGTGGCGGCTTAACGCCCGCCACGTCCGCAGCAAGCATTAACGCCACAATCGGCGCAGCGAATTCGCCAAACGTTTACGGTCAACAGTCCAGCGTACCGGCCGCGCCAACGGCGCCTCCACCTACAGTGGTTGCCGCAGCTGCAGCTGCTGCCGCCGCCGCCACCACCACAACCTATAGTCACAATTCGAAGACCACCCGCTCCTGGCCGGTGATCTATCGCAATCCACATCACTACGACTACGAAGCGCTCTACGTACAGGCCAACAGCGGCAGCGGTAAATCTACAACCGGCAGCAATCATCACTACCACCACCA